CCATTCTATGATTCTATGATTCTATAACTCCTAGATTTTCCACTGTTTTGCTTCAGTGGAGCAGAAGAACTTGCACACATCAACAGCCAAAGGACTTCCAGCTCAAATGAAAATTCAATCATACACATAACTTATTTAAATTTGGCATTTTGTAAGTTAAAAGGTCCTCCTGTTCCTGTTAAGAACAACTGATTGGATTTTATCTCAAAGTGCTCTACTGTTGATAGACATCAGGAAGTCCCTGTGAAACTGGGTCAAAACACCATCTTTGAACAAAGCTCTTAAACTGGTTCCATTCACCACCTTCTTACCTCTTTCAGCTTTCTGGACTAAACTGGATTACCATTATCTCCTCAGACTAACATGTAACATCTGACCTAGAAATAAAAGCCTTCCTGTTACAGGAAGTAATACGCAGGTGTTTGTGCAATGACAGGTAACTTATCTCAAAACAAACATATTCAACTAGGCTAGAAGCTTCCAGACTCCTTGTGGGATTTTGACCTGTGGATTGTTCCTTAATGTACTTGAAAAAAAAAAAAAAAAATAAAATAAAATCTCCATCCTTCCTTATCTCCCTCCCTAAAATAGAAAGAGTATAGGTTGACTTAGCTCCGAGAGACAAACTTCTCAGCACCTTAAAACCATGCAGAGTTTTCCCCACATTTTAGCTTTCTGAATTTGCTTCCAAAGGAGCAGGGAGCTTCCTGGTTACCTTCTTTCAGAAGTGGAACCATTTGAAGAGACTGGAAAAAGCTCACAGACACTTTATAGTCCTTCATAGAGAATGCATATTTCCCATGAAGGCGTTTACTGCATCTTTCCTTCTTCAGAGCACACAACTCACATTTCATACTCATCTCTGGTCTTCCAGCACCAAGGGGTGGGGGGCAGACATGTGATAGGACTCAAGGTGACCATAATGAAATCAGCAAGAAAAACTCTTAATTACAAGTAACTACATAGAATCATAGAATGGTTAGGGTCGGAAGGGACCTTAAAAGTTCATCTAATTCCAACCCCCCCGCCATCAGCAGGGACACCTTCCACTAGATCAGGTTGCTCAAAGCCTCATCCAGCCTGGCCTTGAACACTCTCCCGGGGGGGGGCCATCCACAACTTCCTTGGGCAACCTGTTCCAGTGTCTGACCACCCTCACAGTGAAGAGTTTCTTCCTAATATCTAATCTATACCTGCTCTCTTCCAGTTTAAAGCCATTTCCCCTTGTTCTGTCACTACCTGTCCTTGTAAAAAGTCCCTCCCCAGCTTTCTTGTAGGCCCCTTCAGGTACTGGAAGGCCGCTGTAAGGTCTCCCCGGAGCCTTCTCTTTTCTGGGCTGAACAGCTCCAACTCTTTCAGCCTGTCCTCGTAGGAGAGGTGCTCCAGCCCTTGGATCATCCTCCTGGCCTCCTCTGGACTTGTTCTAACTGGTCTTTCTTGTGTTGGGAGCTCCAGAACTGGACACAGTACGCCAGGTGGGGCCTTATGAGAGCCGGGTAGATGGGGAGAATCACCTCCCTCGACCTGCTGGCCACGCTTCTCTTGATGCAGCCCAGGATACAGTTGGCCTTATCCTAAAGGACAAGAGACTTCTAAATTTGTCATGAGACTCCTAAATTTGAATTAAATCTTATAACCACAGCATATTTTTGCAAATAGAGTAATTCTACACCAAAAGTGAGCATCTGTCCTGTGACTATTGTTTCCCCTCAGCTGCTACATCTGGTGCCCAGTTGGAATTACTGTGCACTTATATCCTCAGTTCATGATCAACTGGAACACACAGAAACAGCGGTTTGGCAGTTTACAAAACAGCTTTTCTGTGCTCAAAGCCAAATGGATGAGCACTCAATTCCTACAAAAAGGCAGCTTAAATTGTATAAATTACTACTTATCTTTCTCCTGATACCCTTCACCAATGTATAAAATTTCTGTCTTAAGTACTGAAAAGAATGAACTAGCTGCAGTTACTGAAGCAGTATTTACTAGGATGTTCTCAGGGAATCCCTACTTAACATATTTGGTTAATACAGAGTATTTCACAGTCCTCAGCACCCTTATATCTGCATTTTTCCTTTGCTTAGAAAATCACTTTCCACCAGTTAAGTCACTTTTGATCCACATCACTTTAAAAGGTGCACTATTAATCTGCAACAAGACTCACATGTGTTAGACTGATGCAATATTACAAGAGTATGAGTAAAGTTCCTTTTGCTGATGGAGCTTTGGGAGTAGCCTCCCTTAGTGGCAAAAAGCCTTAAACCACAGTATATCATTAGAGTTCCCCTTCTTAGGAAAAGTTACCTAGTGAGGCTTTTTCCAAATATCAACCATACAGATTAATACTTCTAGCAAGTCTTGAGTTCCTGAAGCACAGGGGAAGGCAAATTAAAAGGCTCCTCCAAACTCTTTAGGGAATTTTGATGATGCCTAATACACAGTTCAACACACATATAAGACTTGGGACATGCAATTAGAGACATGCTGCAATTCTGCACTAAGACTCGGCTTCCCACATGCTACCAACAGTAATTATCACCATTACCGAGAGCACTGAAACAGCAAGAACAGACTCTAAAGAGCCCATGATTACATTAGTGCATGGCTCAAAAAGCAAGTGCAAGAAACCAATCAGGAAAGGACAGTTCTCACAAAGATTTCAGTATAGCAACACAATATTTGCTTTCAAAGATATGAAGCTGCTCACTTTAAGCCCTGCTTCAGCAGCCTCTTAAAAAGGATAGGTCTACTGTAACAACTTACTTTGTTCTTTACCTTCAAGAGTTGCCCTAACACAATTGGCATTAGGCCAATACATTAGTTACAGTTCTCATGGATACTGAGGTCAATCCTGTGGTCCTGGCTACTTCTACGTTCACATTTCTGTGGCAGAAAGACTTAGAAGTCTGATTTTGAATGTCTCCTGGTGATGCTTTTCTCTTCAGCTGATGCGGCTGAAATCCTGGGCCAAGACCCCATGCTGCTCAACAGACTTGTACAGTGGTGCAACACTAATGACGACACCAGCCTTCGTGGAGAAGCAAATCGGTTGCTAGCATCAATCTTACGTCACAACAGATCCCAAGTATGAGAGCTACTGGTCTGATATATTTCTAATTTATCCTTCTCAAATATTTTTAAAGCTTATCAATATAGCTATGGGTTAAGTGTTAAGTAGCACATACAGCTTTGTAATTAAAAAGATTACAATTCACAGTAAAAACCTCTCTAGTCTGCCTCAATACCAATAATGGGAAGGTGAGCAGGAAAGCAGTGCTCTCCATAGCCACAGATACTGCACAGAAAGAGCACTATGGTTACTTACTGTCACTTGTTAATTTTCACCCTGCTTGAGTACGGCTAAACAAATGGTACATAGGTAAAGCTTTTCTCTTTCCATAAATATTACTTTTAAATTTTAAATTAAAATGGCAAAGATAACCCAGACCTATCCAGAACATCAATCCTCAAGGAGCTCCAAAAAGCCCAGTTATCTATCTAGTGATGGATGAATCTGGCGTGACCTGTATCTGCTGGCATATTAGGACAAGCTTCTGTTCCTTGGAAATCATGTTATTATACTCAGGCATCCCAATCACAATTTACTTTGAGGTAGTGATAAACAACAGTAGATACGATCTGAACAGGTTTCAATAAAGTAAAACTTTGCCAGTTTGAAGGCTTGAAATAAAAAAAACAGAATAATGTCAAACTAAAACTCGAGACAAAATGTATCTATTTTTATCTTAGATACACATACATAATTGTAAGTACCAATATTCCAAGTAAATTAGACCAGCCCAAGCAGACATGTACGATCAGTGCCAAAGAAATGTTATCTCTAGTCTTCAAATGTCATCAGTTTGCACTGCAGCAGGCAAATCATTTCCATCTATTCAGATGCTGAAGTGCAATCTCATTTCTCTCTTCATTATACTTTATTCATAAGTCTGATTTCCATCTGTGATATTTTACCTTTGCTTTAATAGGAAGTGGTCAAAGCCATCCAAGAGGCACAAGGAGTGAAGCATCTGGTTTCCATGACAACAAGTGAACATGCTGCCATGCAGAATGAGGCTCTGAACGCCTTGGCAATAGCATCTGCAATCGATTTAGGTATTTTTCTCCTAAAATAATTTATTTGTGCAAGATCTTAAATTACTAAGAAACATTGCCATGATGTTAATTCTACAAGACATGTAAGAAAAAGCATGTTGCTTATCTAAATTTGGCTCTTCAGCATAAATTAAAGGAGGTCAGCCATCCAGAAGACAACAAAAGCAACAGCCTTCAGAAATTGCCTGAAGAGTGTTTTTGTTTAGGGTAGAGTCAAGTGTTGTGTGGTAGTGTTGTAGACCAGGTTGTGTGGACAGGCATAATCTGTTGAGTAGCATGGTATGATGCTAGAAACCTACACAACAACAACAACAACAACAACAACAACAAAAAAAAAAAAAGAAGGAAAATAAAGGTGATGAAGACTAGAGAAAAATATGAGAAAGTCTCAATGAAGATAAAATTAAGGACAAATTAGGGACTTGAATGGTCAATGAAGCCTATAAATAGAGGAAATAATCTTCAGAAGATACATTTGAGTGCAGGAGAGAATAAAACAGAAGCATAGACAAAAGGGCCTTGTAGAATGCAAATGAAACAAGTAAGAAAACTGTACCAGCTCTAACTACTCTTACTTCAGAGATACTGAGTATATTTTTTTTTCCATATTTTTCCTGTATGACTGATGCATTTGAAAATAGGTCTCAATTTATTACAATAAAGATAGACACCACAGAAATCTACATACAATAAAAGATAAATTTAAAAGAAATAGTTGACTTGAAATTTGGAACTTCTATACCAACAAGCAAGACAGTAAAGAGACCATTTTATTGCTTGGTCCACCATTAAGGCTCTCAAACTCATTTAGGCAACTAGTGTGAATCAACATTTCCAGCACTGACTACTGCAAATTTTAATCTATTATGAGGTTATTTTATACAGTGTGTATACAGGTTCTGTCTTCCAGAATGAGGTCAGTGAAGAAACACTGTAAAGAAAACACAGAAATTGATCCCTGTAGAGCCAATACGAAGTTAAGCCAGTCAAGAATTTTATTTTTAAAAAGCAAACATGTTCACTTTCGAGCTTCGTTTCAGGTAACAGCTCAGGTATTTGTTTACTTATTTTTCAGAAACCCTTGAGGAATCTTTTAAGGAATCACAGCTAGTTCAAAGCTTACACAAACTTCTACAAGATGATAATACAAGTCCCGAGGTGAAATATAATTCAATGGGTCTTTTGTGCAGCCTTCTTAATTCAGGTAACTTCAGTTTAAGTTGGTGGGGAGGAAAGGATTGATATTTGTGATGAAAACACAAGTGTTTTCTGTTACTGAAATGTGCTGCTTGCAATGTAGCAGTCAGTGAGTAGTAAAGGATATTAAAGAGGTTCATTCTTTATTCATCACCACAAATCCCAGTCAAGCAGCTTCTTTATGAAAAGTTGATTAAACCATCAGTTGAATAAAAAAAGAAAGGCTTTATTCCAATGAGTCAGTGGCATAATTGAGTCCTGAAATAGCAAAATCAGAGCTTTGGAATAAAGGCATCTTTGTCCAAATTCACCATCCCCAAATGTCTGTCAGTCCCAGGTCCTGTATATATCACAGCACTTTTGTGTTCAAAGAAATAAAGAGGCTGTATCATCTTGCACAGGCAGGCATACATTTGTTCTGCCTATGCTGTAAGCAAACCAGAAGCTGAGATAAAAAAAGAAATTTTAGCAATGCTGTCTTTGCACAGCAACTCTTAGTAGAATGTATGAAGGGTATAATTTCCATTTCTCTCACTCCATGGTTAGGGAAGACTTAAAATGGTTTGAGCAAGATTAGACTCATCCTTCATGTGTGTGACTAACTGAAAACAACTACCTTGAAACCACAAGTCCAAAGATCTCATGCCAGTTTCTCATGTCTTAATACATAAATCATGTAAATCAAAAATAATGATGGGCTCAGGTGAAGATTCACCACAAGGGGAGCTGCCTTTCAAATCCTGGAGCCACCCTATATTGGCAGATAAACTGGATTTTGCAGTATACGCTATTTTTTTCCCTGTAGTCACACAGATACTGGAATAGGACTAAGTATTTGCACCCTTCAGTACTGCTACAGAGTACCAACAACAGATGTGAGTTGGAAGACTTTTTTCCAGGGGTGTATATACTTAGCACTAACTGTAACACTAAGAGTTGAGTCTTAATAATATGAAAGGCTAACAAAAAGCATACAGGTAATAAATGCTGGAACTTGTCCAGTACTATATTTTCAAACAAGTGCTTTTCTTCAATCAGTTCTTGGAAGTCAAATAGAAGAAAAAAAAAAAAAATCTTAACCTGTTCAATACTTTCAATGGCTGAAAGTGTATCTATTGAGAAATGTATTTAACTTAAAGCAGCTCATTTTAAACAGCAAGTACTCCAAACTTTTATCTTACAGTAATTGTTGGTAGCCACTATGCCATGGCATATCACTAAAAGGCAGCATTTCATCTCCCATTCAGGTGATCTGAGACAAGAAATAGAAGAAGACAAGATTAAAGAAACCCTTGAACAACTCTGCAGTCACAGCAATGCAAACGTGGTCAAGGAAGCTATCACAACATTACAGGTTTTGAGAGGAGAGGCATCCCACTAGTCTTCCTTCTTCCCCATAGCAACCCTGCACTGCTGTTGAGACAAAGGCAACCAGCTTTGCCAACCCTACCTTGCATTTGTCATGCTGCCCCACAACCAATACTACTAAAGCCCAGGTACAGCTCCTGCTTTTAAAGCTGTACATACAAAAAACCCCCTCAAAATAAAAAAACCCAAAAAAACACACTCATTTGCTCATCCGTTTGGCCTACAGATACTTGCATCACTGCTGCTCTTCACTGAGCTACTGATATGCAGCAATAGGAATAAGGCCCATCAAGCAAATTGTCCTGGCTTTGCTAGGGTAGAGCTAATTTTCTTCTTAGTACCTAGAATAATACTGTTTTGGTTTCAGTATGGCATTTGTTATGAGAAGAATGTTGATAACACACTGATGTTTTTTAGTTGTTACCAAGGAAATCAAGGACATTTCAACTTCCCATGTTTTGCTAGTCTGCAGGTGCAGAAGAAACTGGAGGGATCCCAGTAAAATTAACAGACCCAAACTGGCATTTAGATATGCCAATGGAATATTATGTATCATATAACATCATGTTCAGTATATACTGAGGGTTGGCCGGATCTTGGGGATCTCATGGGCCCTCTCTCTCTCTTCTGGGATTGTGTTTTCAGTTTCAGGATTGTCTCTGCTCTGGGATCGCTAGCTGGGGACTGGGCTGGGCACCAGTCAGCAGGTGATGAGCAACTGCACTGTGCATCACTCATTTGTGTATTCCATTATTACTGTTAGCATTATTATTTTAATTTCATCTCAATTATTAAATTGTTTTTATCTCAACCCATGAGTTTTCTCAATTTTACCCTTCTGATTCTCTCCCCCATCCCATTGCAGGAGGGTGAGCAAGCAGCTGTTCAGTGTTTGTCTGCCAGCCAGGCTAAAGTCACTGCACAAGTGGTCTTAGAAAAGATGAGAAGTATCAGGCAATTACCACTTCTGTGATACATTTAAAGTTCCTTGGTTTTGTCAAATCAGGATACAGCCTGCAACTTTTTCTTATATCAATAGGACTTTAAAATCATAACACAAAAATCTCAAGCTCCTATCATGTAACCTGAAACAACGGTGTTTTAGATTAGACAGGAACTGTAGCTTAAACAACGCAACAGGCAATGTTGCACCAATTCAACCTCTGCACATTGTGAATCAACCTGTGAGTCCAGCTGTCAACTGAACATGCCAAAACTACCATAAACCTGTACCTTTAAATGAACTCCCCCTTTAATTTCCAATTTTAAATTTCATCTCATGAGTTTTTACCTGCTAGTGTCACAAGCTACATTCCTAAGTATCTGAGGTCTTGTCCTAATTTCATAGTTGCAGTTGTTGTAACCTGGAATGAAATTCAGTACAAGCAAAGTTTACAGGCAACTGCAGTCAACGTCCGTACACAGCTTGGACAAGATACAAATTAAAGCTAGTTAGAAATTACAAGTGAGTATGAGTGAAGATTTGGAGGCAGCTGGCATTTCATTAGATTACTGCCAGTAAGAGAACCTGGGTTTAGCTTTAGATAATGAAAAACTGCAGTAAAACAAATGTCTCTCAACATTTCTAAAGAAACCTTTCACTATTTAAAAATGATCACTTGATAAAAAAAGGCAAGAACAGGATCTACTGCACCACTTGTTTTTATGGGAACTTTTTGAAGCAGTTGCAAGTAGGTTGCAGAGTCACATTGCCAAGACCTACGGTATCAAATTTAAAACCCTGTAGTTCTAGAAACTGAAGCGCTAAGAAACTATGACAGTTTTTAGCCAGCAGTAAAAATCATTGGGGGAGGGAGACAAAAGAATCAGGAAAATACTTATCTCTAAAAAAAGGTTATAAATCAGAGAATATTTCAAAGTCAATAAGGCCCCCTGTTCTCAAACAATTTAAGTATAACTGGCTTATGTCTGCAAAGATTACAACTTGGTTCCTTCAAAAGCTTTCCCACTTGCAAGACTTGTTAACACTACTTAGCCCACTACATTCACCACTGAATATCACTCTTAGAAGTACTCTTGAGAAAGGGAATTTCATAAAACCACCCCAGACAAGTCACTTGGTAACATACATGCAGGTTTGGACCACATAATATGAGAAAAGAAAAACAACAGTTGAGCCATGTGTAGTCTCCTCTAGCTTAAAGTACACAGTGATATGAGCATTGTACATGTTTCCAAGGTCAACGTGAGAAATAGCTTTAGACAATCTCTATTTCAGAAAAACATCTGGCATAAGTATGAAATATATCAGGATTCATTACAAGTTCTACATACATACACACCAAATACCCACATTCAAGTTAACTCATTCTTACCAGAAGTTATCCAGTCTTAATACTCTAGAGAATCTAATTCTAGTTATTGCATTATTCTAATATAGCCATTATCTACTGGCTAAATGTTCCTCTGACCTTATTAAAACTAAAATCAGGTTTTAATGCATTAAGGAAGTGTTTAAATGGTGAAAGAAGCAGACACAATCCTATTTCTGCAAGCCTCATTTTCAAACCTGAAAGTTACTTCCCTTCTGCACTCTTAAGAGTAGTTTCAGGATCACTGCTCGGACATGACAAACCACAGACTGTGCAAATCACAAGAGTGGTAACTGTGGATAATGGCAGTCAAAGTACAAACACCAGTTTAAACTTTTTGGGTGTCCAGAGATTTAATTTCTCTACACCATTCTGCAGCTCTTCACTTGTTCACAGTTTTCCATTAACAATGGAGAATAAAGCACCAGTATAATTTGCTATTCAGCAGCCCAGAGTGAAAATAAAATCATTAGTTTCAGCAAAATATACACACAAACATCATCTAACCTTCACCATTTCTGTAGTTATCTACAAATTGCAGTCTCAGTAGCCTTAGAGAGGGAAATACTAGCGACTGGAAGCAACAAATATTAGAAATCAAACTCCAGCAGTACAAAACATTAAGTTTTATTTAATCAAATTTAAGGCTTAAAAAACATATTCTGAAAGTTACCCAGAAAAGCTATCTCGGAAGAAGAGACAGAAACCCCCATCTTCCACTGGCTAAACAACATTCAAGCTGCATGATAACCCACAGGTGGTAGTGGGAAGGAAGAGGAAAGGATGTAATGAGGAGACAAAAATCAAGGCAATTTTATGTATAAGCCAGTTGTGACATCATCCTCAATGGATTGGAGGTATAAATCTAACCACATGGCACTGTATCAGGGTCATCAGAACTAAAGACCCCTTTGGAAGAAATATTCAGGTCTTCAGGAGGCAACCAAAGCTCCTTTGGTCACCGTACTTTTTTCAGTGCTTATATTCATCTTCCTCTTCATGTACAGGGAAACTATGTCCAAATACAGTTATACTGATAGAAACAAAAGGGCAGCTACACCGACAAACATACTGACAAATAAATACATTGCTTCACAGAAATAAATTGTGCTCCTTTCTGATAAATAAAAGACACTGCAAAGTTTTCTTCTCTCAGTCTAGTTATTCAAGTCCAATCTCATATTTGACATCTTCATTAAAAAGCTTGTTTCCATCGTAGTGTTTGTGGAGTTGTTCCAAGTGCAACCACTGAAATCTCAACATCAACAATTTATCAAACTTCTCTTTGTGAGATCATTGAATTGCTTCTCCTTTGATGCTATAGAGGCAGGCTCACACCCAACTGCTTTTGCTGATGAGACTTTTTAAAATCATAACCTAAATCTTCAGCCATGAAGTCACTGCAGGTCCACAGAGAAGTTGTTAAATATAACTAAGTAGAAAGTGGTAAGAAAGCATGCCCATTCCAAGTCTGAAACTACACTAGCCATGTGTACCACCAATGGGGATGCACTTCAAAACATCTAGGGGTAAACCAGCCTAGAGCCCCACGGTTTTAAAAGTGATACTGAATAAGCACAAAGAAGTTTATCCACAGTGAAAAAAATCACTCCATAAATTTAAAGATCCTCAAATAGGTTGAGCTTGCTCTCTTGAATTCAGTTCCAAATCACCAGAACATTGATACAAAGCTGGTGTTAATACAGCCAAAGCCAGTACAAACAAACTGTGGAAAGACAACACTTAAATTCTGTTTTGCATACAAACAGTACTCCAAAAAGAAACCAAGTATTCATTCATCTTCAGGCAACTTGGCAAGATTTGCAGACACTGGAATCCTGATCCGTGACATTGGCTCTTGTCAGCAGCTAATTTCAGTGCATAAACTCCACAGGTAATCTTTGACACCACGATGATTTTCACCAACTGCTGAAATTACTTCCCAGCATTAGGAGCTTCCTGTGTTAAAAGTGGCAAAGGAAAAAGCACTCCCTAGATTCAATTTTGAATGCAATGTTTTATGAATAAAAAGTTACAAATAGAAAACATCCTTCTCCAATTTTGCATACATCGGATTACTACACATAACCTTAACAATGTAAGTCGACTGATAAGGTGTTGCAAAATTTCAAACACCAGTGTTTAAAGCAAAGGTTGCTGGACACTGCTTTACTGCTTGCAAAGTAGCAGTAACAGCAGCAAATTTTGGCTGCTCCTAATGGACTAGATTCAACAAATAAGTAATACAGACCTCTGATTCAAGGCTCTACAGAAGAAATGCCTTTTACTCTCCCCTCAGTGATTATTGTCTCCTTGTTGTATATCAAAGCTTAAAAAAACCCAAAAAAACCACAGTGCACTTCTAACAATTTTACTTTCAGGTTTTTCAGATGAGTAACTGCAGACTGTTCTCTGCTATTGTAAGGAAATCAGCCATCCTTAGACAAGCTTCCTTTTCCTGTTGTGCTTCAATCACTGTCCAGAAAAAGAACTATCAAAGCTGAACTGAAGTACACGAGAAGTACAATGTTGTCTGCAAAACGATTCTCAGATTAAAAGTCAGAAGGATACCTGGACAATCAATACAGACACAACGATTCTTGCTGTTGATCAGCTTTCGCAAGTGAAATGTTTGTTAATGCATGCATGATAGAAAAAAGGATATTAGAGATATTTAAAA